AGAAAACCTTGTGCAAGAACATCCCTCCAAAATCACAAAAAATTATCAAACTAGGGCAACTTGAAACCCTGGTTTGCAGCCCCTTTCCAAGCATCCTTGCATCACTAATCGATTCCTGAGAAGATACAGAGTAAGAATGGACCAAACCTGATGGTCCAAAACTCACATGCATCCATCTCTGATCTCATGATTTTTTTTAAAATTCATACTTTGATTTTCGTTTTATTTTAAGTCATGCTAATGGCATTAATATGTTTCTGAGATGTGTTTATACAGGATTGGTTCATCATAGGAGTCCCGTGCAATCAAAACTATGAATTGCCATGTCTGGTCTGATCCATATTGTTTTTGTTATACCTCCCAAACTGTTGCGTTTCAGGCCAAAATAACCGTCCCATTGAACTCGCATGCCTCGATTTAGGGGAGTAAGGGGCTTTTGGGTTTCTAACAACGTTTGTTTTACAGGTTTGAAGGAAGGAGGCAACCGAAGAAGACGACCGGAGCTAGGACTCTGGCGCCTCTCCGGTTCATGCAATTATTTCATATTAAATATATTTTGTTTGAGTTAATACAATAGATGTATTACCGCCCCAACGATTGAAGCACGCGCGATAAGACGTTACTATGCCAAGGCGTGGGTTCGATCCCAGCCTTTTGGCATTTTGATATTTTTCACATATTTTTTTTGTTTTTCAGATCCTGGACACCACGTTCTCACGCACCCACCATACATCCTCTCATCATCATCCTTGAATCTAAACAGATCCAGATCCAGTGCTCCAGATCCGCGCGCTCATGATACACCTCCTGGAGCTAGCCACGCTGGATCTAACGCTAATATCTTGTGCTTCTCATTCTTGGGCCTAACGGATTCCTCTACACCCCCCCTCCCCCAGATTTTCTATTTTTCAGGCCCAGTCTCTTTCTTTTTTTTATCACTCTTTTTTTACAACATAACTTTTTTTAATTAATTAAAATTAATTTAGACCTATTAGGTTTTTTTTTCTAATCATTTTTTATTAATTAACTAATCAACTTTTTAATAAATAAATTAATTCCTTTTTTAATCAAAATTAATTAGGTTTTCCTAGGTTTTATTTTAATTAATAAATTCTTTTCCTTAATCAACATTAAATAGTTTTTTTAGGTTAATCATCAAACTCTTTTTTTTAATAAAAAATCACTAAGAAACTCTTTCGCTTTCTCATCTTACAATTAACGCAGTTTATTGTTCTTGCTTTTTTTAATGATTATGTAACTGCCCATGGTTTGTAATAAGTAATTAGGGTTTTACTTTTCCCCACATTTTTATTGCGTGTACCCCTCATTCCCAAGGTCGTGTAATAGCGTAGAAATATTTATTTTCCGCATTTATCACTTTCCTATTTTACTATTATTGTTAGTAATTAGGTCATGTATGGTAAGATAAAATAAAACGGTAGCAAAACTCTAATGCAAGATAAATAATAACTGAATCACAACACACATCACACATGCGCACCTCTAGGGTAACCTCCCTTGTTGCCTCAGAAACACAGTCATGTTCCTCGAACGTGGGGACTCTTTAGTACTGTCCCTCGAAAACAAAGATCGTAGTCCCTTAATGACCCTTTCGATATTGCCTTTGATAAACAATCTAGTACCTTAACGATAATTGCTAAAGCGCCCATATAAGTTTCCTTCTATGACTATACGATGACCTACGCTCGTCCCTTCACATCCAACGATAGGGCTTCCTACTAACTAATGGTGGGGTAGCACTATCTAAAGGAGGAGGAAAATTATAAAAAAGACCTTGAGTAGGTAGAACATTCGTAATCACTTGCTCACAAACATTTCAAAATATTTACAAACAAACACTTTGTACGCATTCTCAAGAATAAAAAACGAGAATCATTACAAAGTTCTGCCTCACTATGGCAATTTTCAAAATATTTTTCAAACACATTCACAAAGCATTTTCAAAGTGAGCTAGCGGTTAAGAGTCCATAGATAACTACGGATAAAAAAGATGCTAACACCTTCCCTTTTCATAACCTACCCCTCGAACTCAATAATCTCAAGGTCTTTCCTGTTCTTTTCACCCTTTACTTATTGGATAAAAGAAAAGTCGGTGGCGACTCTTGCTATCCGCATATTTGCGATAAAACACAAAACAAGTCAGTTCTTCCATCGTATTACAGGTGGCACCACCTCATGCACAATCCTTTCTTTCTCATATAACACATGTCGAAGTCTTTCGACACATATTCTCCACCGCCATCAGTCCTCCGTATCTCGAGCTTGCGGCCACTTTATCTTTTAACGATAAAATTAAACTTGGAAAATACCTCAATCACTTCAATTTTCTTCTTGATCAGGTAAGTCCAAGCTTTCGACTGAAATTATCTATGAATATGACAAAGTATTTATTATCTCCATTCGAATCCACCTGGATTGGTTCACATACATCAGAGTATATGATTTCAAGAACAACCTTTGACTTGCTTCCAACATCCTTGCTGAAGCTATTCTTGTGTTGCTTCGCCTACACACCTTGTTCGGAATATCGATTTCTGGCAGCCCTAAAACCATATTTCTATTTTTCAAATATCTTATGTCTTTGAACTTAGGATGACCAAGTCGATAGTTCCATATCCATTCATCTCTGCTAGTTACAGTCGGAAGAAACTTGTGCTCCATCACATTTAGTTCGGTCTTGAAGGTTCTATTCTGAGACATAGGAGCCTTCAAGATTAATCTTTCTCTTGCATTGATGACTCTCATCATGTTGTCTTTGATCGACACTTTATAATTTTTTTCGACCAGCTGCCCTATACTGAGCAAATTGCTCTTCATGCCTGGTATGTACAATACATTGAAAATTACTGACCTATTGCCATCTTTCCTCATAATCAGAACATCACCAATACCTTCAGCTGCTAGAGTATTGTCATTTGCAAATTTCACCATGTTCTTCATCGAGGGTTTTCTGTTGACAAACCAATCTTTCCTTCCAGACATGTTTTATGAGTATCCTGAGTCCAAGTACCATTGGTCCTTGAATATCTCTTCATCTCTTGTTGTGACCATCAACATCATCTCTTCTTCATGTTTTACAAACTTTGTATCACTTTCTTGATTCATTCATTTTTCTGGACAATCACTAGATTAGTGACCATACTTATGGAAATTAAAACATTGAATGTGACTATTGTTAGGTTTTCGACCACCACCTCTTCCTCTACCACCAGCACCACCAATTTGGTTGCCTTAGTATGGGGGTCTTCTTTGATTCGACACAACTTCTTCATGCTGATTTCTTCTACCAGTCAAATTATTGTAGCTTCCTCTACCTCTATTGTCGAACCACTTTCCTTTGCCTTTCTTTTCTCTTGCTGACTGTGCCTGGAAAGCCACTTCACTCTTTGACTTGCCTCTAGCTCTTTCAACCATTCTTTGTTCATGAGATTCAAGTGTCCCTTAAAGCTCTTCTTTTGTCAATGTCGACAAATTCTTTGACTCTTCTATGACTACCACCATGTAGTCAAACTTTGGTGCCAAAAACCTCAAGATCTTTGCAGCAACTGATCTTAAAGTCAGCATTTCTCCAGATACTTTGATTTGATTCACTAGTTTCGTAATCCTAGTGAAGAAATCTATTATACTTTCTCTTTCTTCCATCTGAAGTAATTTATATGTTCTTTTGTGAGTTGGTAACCTCACATCTTGCACCTTTTATGCACCTTCAAAAGACTTTTCCAGAATTTTCCAAGCTTCTTTCGCAGATTCTACATCACTCACCTTTTTAAAATTTTCTGAACTTAGACATTGATGAATTATAAAGAGAGCTTTATAATACTTTTTCTTCAATTATTTGTGTACAACCTCTTTTTCTTCTGTTACGTTTTCTTTAAGCGATTATAACCCTTCTTTCACAAGATCCTAAAGATCTTGACAACAAAACACAACCTTCATCTGCTTGCACCAATTCTCATAGTTATCAACTTTTAGAATTGGAAGACTTGCTAGAAAATGCTCATTCGGATGATTCATTGTCATAGTGATTTTCTTGCCTTGAATTGTTAACCAAAACTCTAGATACCAGATGTTGGAAGTCCACCAAAACCTATGGAAAATTTCTCTCAATCTTGAGGAACAAAATTGTTATCGATACACAATAACAATAGGAGAAAAATATTAAGGAAAAAAGAAAATTAAGATTTGATAAAATATGAAAGAAGATGATAATTTTCTGGAGGGTAACTCTCTATTTGTAAATTGTAGAAAATCTTATTCACTTTACAACTACACAATTATTTGAATATAAATTATGAGTTATTACAAAATAAAGGTTAGTCCCTCTGTATAGATAGATTACTTTGATTTTGGTTATAATTAAAAATAAGATTCTACAAATATAATGCAATACACTCGTATCTTTTTTACACCAGTTTGACACCAGGGTCATTACCCAGATTCAAATACAAGGATAAATTCACCCAAGATTAACCAAATAAATAGGATATGTAAATGAATTATAAGAATCAACCGCAAGAATTAGCTGAGTCATATCTTATTCGACAAAATTTAACCAAATAAAAAATATGTGTTAATGAACAAATAGCGCATCCAGACACATATATATATATATAAACTGTTACGGTATAATTCTGTCACTTTACTAGTTAGCAACATGGTTTTAAAAAAGTTTCGTGACTGTAAAAATGGTTTTGACAAATACCGATAACAATCGTAATTAATATTATGACAATTTTTATGTGACACCATGATTGAAATTACGAAAATCTTTATGCGACTATTAAAACCCTAGTTAGCAACATATTGAAGTTAATTAATTAAGTGACTAAAACACCGGCGGTTAATATAACGGATTAACAAACTGACTTGTTATAATACCTTTACAATCAGTCTCTTAAGCTCAAGAAGCAGAATATTCTCCTCATACTTTCTCTCCAAGAAACCACTAAATATTGCATTTTGTCAACAATATTCTGCTCATGGATCCACCACCACCCAAATCAGTGGGAAGTTCTCGTCCACCAAGGCCACCACGAAAAAACGCTGCTCCACCGTCCCAACTCTCTCGGCAGCAGCCACAAGAATCATCACCGGGAATAGAAGAATCTCAACTACTGTCATGGTTTCAAGAAATATTCCCTGGTCAAGATCTTCCACAATGTCTTCAACCGGAGACGAATAATGATCCTCCTAGAGACTACACATTACAACGCATGCAGAGTCTTCCTAGATCAAACCCTGTACCATGGCATAAGTCACGAGAACGATTATTATTACGTGAATTATATCCTCATCTTGATGCTCTATGTACTGATTCAATCTCGAAGCAGAGAGAAGGACTTCTACCACCGCGACCACCGCGGCCTCGGCTTCAGGCAATACCATTTCCTTCTCTAGACTCGCCACCACGGTCATCACCACCGCAGCAGCAAGAAATAGTTCTTGCACCACCCTCTCCACCGAAAAGAGAATCTCAAGAGATTCATGGTCCTCATTCTATTGCTTCTCCGTCACCTCGGTGTTGGACATTCGTAGTAATCTTAGTTGTTATCATAATTATTGCACTAGCTTTGGTGCGTCCTACTTACTTTACTCTTTCAATTATAGTACTAGCTGCTTCTACTATTACTCACGGTGATGATTCTTGTTTCAGGTGTACGTTTTTAGAGATTATTTACACATAAATCTTTGATCATTTGTGTTGAGGTTAACGGCAACAACACGTTTTTTGAGGCTAATAATATTCATTTGCGGACAAAGGTTTGCGCTTTTCCTATCCTCTCATACTATAGCTTGTAACTTCAACGTTTCTATATAATTCTAAACAGGCTTAAGTCACCTTGTAGGTTCTTGAAATGGCTTCGGATGAAAGACGATGATACTTGGAACTTTTTGGGAAACAAGTTATTAGAAGGGACGTGTTGATAATTATTTAACAGTTAGTAGATACTTTTGATGATGTTGAAAGTTATTAATACCATCTAAGTTCCCGTTTAGTTAGAAAGGTTATTTGTATTTTTTTTCAAAAATTTCTTTGATTTTATTTTGTTAGTAAGATATATGAAATTCTTGCTGAATTGCTGATATTCCAATCAGTTGAATAAGGCATAACGTTGAGAGACATCATGTTGAACATGCATAGTAGGATATGCAAATAAATCCTATTTGAATCATAATGATCTATTGAAATCTGAATTACTCTGGAAGAATAAAGTCTTAAAGTTTACTAAGTTTATTGGTGAAGCAGGGAAACCAAACGTATAACAAGTAGTCAATGTCAAATATCAAATTGAATGTAAAGATTTATCCAACAATGAATATTTAAAAATTAAGCATTTTTCTAGTTTCTTAACTAAAGATGCGGTTGAACACTTTTCCACCTAAGTCGATTTTAAACAGAGAAATTTTAGAACCTTATTCCACAAACAATTCTTTATGAAGAGAAACTAAAGTTAATGTAATTGACTTAATCAAAGAAAAGATGATTAATCAATTATTGATTACTGATGGACTATATAAATATAAAAAAGAATATTATTAAAAGTTCATTGTAAATATTAAAAGTTCCAAATATTTTTATCTAGGCCAGATTGCGAGTTCGGCAAAGAACAGGATATTGGCCGGCCTGTAAGGTTACCTGGTTAGCCCATATCTAGGTATGTGATCGACAAGAGTGACATGGTAGAAGGTTAGTCGAGGCCTGACCCTAGCCTGGAGCATTTATTTTGTAGTCGGGTAGGAGTTCAGCTCATCCAACTAGGTGCGTAAGAGGTTGGTCTTGGGAAGATTAAGAGTCGTAACAGTCAAAGTGTTACGGAACATTGATGACTTGCTATTATGACAGCAACAACCATTACAAACTCATGAAAGGGAAGAAACCAAGAGCCACGTCTTTAATGAGGTTAGGCTATAAAAGGAACCTCCAGAGGTGAAAAGAGGATCTGAAAACATACACAGACACAACAAACTCAGATAATCAACCATTTGAGCCTCTTCCTGATCTATAGCAGATAAGGTACCTGATCTTACCGGTTGATCAGAACCTGCAAGTTGGCCGGAGGACGATCTTTAACGGGTTGGAAAGTTGAGGAGAAAGGGGGGGTTGTAACTGCAAGGCACTCCGACGATCAAGTAAGTGTGGAAGGAAAGAGATACAAGCAAAGTATTAGGGTTTCAGAGATGAATATTCGATATTTGGCCCTCACATGTGTGAGGATTTATATAATGCCCCCAGCGTTTAGTCATTGGTCTCTATTTTTGAGCCTAGATACGCGAGTCCGCAAAAATAGGTAACTGCCAGCACTCGGTCAAAACGGGAAGGTGTTTCCATAACTAGCCATTGGATCCGAGGTGGAGGCAGTTTACAGACAGATGGTTGTTATGGACATTTTCTGGTCGTCTGCTCGACTCATGTCGGGCTGACGTGAGACAACTGCTGACTGGGTCAGGCGTGCGTGTCGGGTATAACTGGTCGTGTGCTCAGGCGCGTGGTCGACCAGAATGACAGGCCACTGTTGTTGGGCCATGTCAAGGGTAGAAGCAAATTGGGCAAATTCTAGTCATTGGATTAGTTCAAACAGTACCTTTTTAATATTTTAGCAAGGACATTGAGCGCCCACCGTGAGGTCTGGTAAAACTGACTCGAGTCTCTAGTTCAGTCTCATCGTGATACTCACGAGTAGCAATACCATGTTATTGATCCGCCACCAGATTAAATTGCAATTCCATTTATTCAATTTCTATTCACATACGCGGTTTCGGGCAACATTGATGGTGAATGGCGATCGCCATGAGTACAATGAAGAAGACGATGCCAAAGAGGAACATTCTTTACACGACCTTCGATCTACTTGAATTTGCGATTGCCGAGTTAGAGCAAGTGTTTATTCCTCTCACTGGTACCGCACCGTCCAATCCACTCAAGATCGGTGACCCTCTCAATCGAACCCATTCAGAATACCACCAGAACGCTGATCTCGGTAGAATCATTGACAAGGACAAGGATAGTGAAATGGTTCTCAGAGATAAATATTTGTTAAGACCACAATGAAGCTATAGATTCTCTATCTTCATCGTAACCTCATTTTCTCTCTCTAGGTTGGTGATATGTTTTGCTTTCAATAATTAGAGAATATTTATTTATACATTTACAACTACCAATTGTTTAATGACATTTCTAAGAAAAAGTGTGTTTCTTGCAAGAAAATATTAAAATACGGGGTCATTGATGGCTACGGTCAGCAAATTATTCAATTGCCCCAGTAATTCTAAGAAAGGAGACCATGGTGATACCTCTGTAGGGGAAAATCGCTTTCTATCACGATGGAATCGGCAGAGAAATGCATGCCAGAATGAGAGACATGATTGTGTGTGATGCTACAATATCTTCTAACAAGGATAAGCTATTGGTTGCTAATCTTACCGAATCAGACTTGGACCGTCACAACTAGTTCGAACTGGATTTGAATGAGATTTGAGGGGGGGGGTACCTGCAAGACACTCCGATGATGAAATGAGAGGCGGAATAAGCAGGCAAAAAGTATATAGGTGTGTAATGAACGAATACCTGACCCTCTTGGAATAAAGGGTATTTATAGCCCCCAGTGTTGGGACAAGGTCCCCCTATTGGGCCGACCAGAGCTTGCCCAATAAGGGGACTGCCAGGTTTTACGTGTGTAGTGGGGATCCGCACGTGGTCCCTTTCCTGGATGGTGCTCTGTGAAGAATGAGGAAGGACGAATATGCGGTCTTTTTGGGGATTTAAGGATCCTGTAACATTCGGAGGGGACAAAATCTGCCCTACGGGAGGATGCTCAGGCAAGACTCGAGCTGGAGTGCCCTTGGTCGGGGACGCTACTCGTTGCGGGTAACGGCAGGCATTGCCACTAGGGTTTATGGTCGGGCACGTTCGGGATGGTCTGATTATGAGCATTCTCCGAGGAGATACCTGGATCTGGGCCTTTATTTGCACTTTGGGCCAAGGCGGGCCCAGTCCAGAACAGGAGCCCCCCAAGTCGTTGTTCCTGGGACAGGAGTTATGACTTGATCTCAGCTTGCTTTTTCCGTGGGGAGCCAATGCCCGACCTATGGTTCTGCCTTTCGAAGCGTGCTCGAGGAAATCTCGCGGGGATCTCTGGGCTGCGTCTATCGGACACGTGGCGTAGTCCTTGGGAACTACAACGTTGCCCTAGTAAATAGGGCCATCATTGCCTAGGCGGGTAGGTGTCGAGGATGGGGGAAGTTCGTGTCTCCCCGGTGCAACGTTTCATATTCCACGTCATCTCTATAAATAGGACCCTTGGGCCCATAATCTGTTTTTCCTCTTCACGCTCCTCCTTCTTTCTCTGTTTCCACAGCCGTTGGTTCCCGTAACGCCGTTGAGACCGCCGCACCGTTTGCCGTTGATTACTCTCACCACCGCTGTTTGTCCTCTTCTTCTTCCAATTAAGTGTCCCTTTCTCCTGTTTCTCTGTGTTGTAGGTAGCTTTGATGATATTTTTGATACTAGAAACCTGTATTTGGAAGTAATGTCCGGTAGATTCAAGCGCGCTAGGCGCCTGATTCATGACTCTGCTCGAGATACTCATAGTTTTAGGCATGTAATTCATGATATTGTCCATGATATTCATGCGTTTGGTCGGCATATTCATGAATTGGCCGGGATATTCATCCTTTTAGGAAGTATGTAGAGTAGTCTCCTCGCAGTATTCTAGTGTCGGGTAGGCGGAGTCAGGAACTTGGTCGCGTGATTCATGATTCTCCCGGGGCGCTCATGTTATGCTCGTGCTATCCATGATTGATGCGTGGTCGGAGCTGGGGTGTCGGTGTTCGGCTTTAGTTTCGATCTGAGTTGTGTGCTTCTCCCCGCCTTTATGGCGAGCACGCGGATTTGCTGTTGAATTCACCGGTTTTCTATGCTTTGCAGGTAAATGGCCGATAATCCGGAATCCTCGCGACATAATGACGTCGAGGAAACAAGTACAGAAGAGAATGTTACATTGGTCGACACCATCGACGACCCTGCGTTGGATTGGGTGGGCGCCGAGCCCCGGGGAATTGCTTCGGCGTACTATCATCGTAGTCGGCGAGCTTACACCGTCGTTGAGCACGGCGGCACTCAGGAAGGTTTTCAAAAGAATTTTAGAATAATTAGGCCGACGATCAACGCCCGTATCTTTTTGGAGTTCACTGAGTATGTGTTACCTATGTACGAGATTGTGTTTAGGGATCTCGGTCTCAGGCTGCCTTTTAGCGACTTTCAAGTCGGGGTGTTCAGTCATCTGAACCTGGCCCCCTCACAGCTCCACCCTAACGCGATCGCCTTCCTCCAGGCGTTCGAGCTGACCTATCATTTCCTGAGAATTTGGGAGACGATTCCCCTTTTCTTCAGGGTGTTTCATCTGCAACGTCAGTCTCGAGGAGGCAGACACAGCTGGGTATCCCTTAAACAGTCGAAGAGACTCTTTAGGATGTACATGGATTCAGTGAGGTATTTTAAAGACAAATGGTACGTGTTGCAGCCGGCCACCCAAATGGCCCTGGATTCTTTATTCGAATCGGAAACTGTGGTGGTCGACGGGGACGGGGAGCCCCTTGTCGATGCTGAGGGTAGTCTCGCAGTCGGACGAATCTCCAGGTTCCCAATCCATTGGTGCTCGGGTCACTATGAGCACGGCACCGGGCACTATCATACCCCTGCGGGGAGCATGAGTGTCGAGCATGAGGAGGCCTATGTTGTCCTTTGCAAGTATGTTGATAGCTTTTTCCCAGCCCGATGGGTCACGAAGGAAGGGGATGACATTCTTGATGAGGATGGCTACCCAACATTCGAGGCGCGTCCTATCAACACCAAGGCGCTCGTTGAATGCCAATCCTACGGGCAGGCCGTAGATCTCCTATGTTTCTTGCTTCTGCTCTTATGGTTTTATTCCTTTTTATTGCTTTTTCTCGCTTGTAGCTAACCCTGGGTTCGCTCCTCTTTACAGGTCACATGGCGGAACATCAAGAGAGGCTGTTGAAGTTGACCCAAGACAAAAAGATAAGCAAGAGGCTGGTGCGAGCACCGCAGGCCACGCGGATGGGCCCGCCGGCTGGTTCGGGCGGAGATGCGTCAAGTGGGTCCTCAGGCTCTCCCGATACCGAGCAACAGACCGAGCTGGTTGGGAGGAAGAGGGGTCGGACAGAGAGCAGGGCGAGAACTGTCGATGAGCCTGCAGCTGCCCGGGCCTTTGGTTTACCGCCCTGTTTTACGGAAACGGATTTCTTCGAGGGGTTTCCTCTAACGGTGTCTGATAACGAGGCCGACATTATCAAACGGATCGACAAAGAAGGCCGGAGGAAACAACTCTCCGCCAGCATGGTTGGGGTAGTGAAGATGGACGAGATGGCTGTGGTCCTTGCAGGGGAAGGATCAGAATCCTTAGACCGTGTCAGGGAGTTAGAATCGGAGAAGGCTGTTTTCACTTCCAAATCTCGAAAGCTGAAGGCGGCCTTCGAGCGGTCCGAGGAGATGTTTCGTGAGCAGGCCGACTTGCTGTTGGGGGAGAAGGAGAAGACCGTGAAGGTTTTTGAGGAGAGGAATTGCATCCAACTTGATAAGGAACGGTTGGAGAGCAACAACCAACAGTTGTCCAAGGAAATCGGGG